ATGTTTCACCGCCTCGATGCTCGAGTGTAACCCCGTAATTCTTGAGCATGTGCATCTTGTACGACGAGCATGTTTGGAATGTTAGTTCTGGATTTTGTTGAACTTTATGGGTCACCCAGTCAAGAAACATCACTGGCGTGAATTTTTCAAAATGGATGGGATTAATTTGCTTCTGTAACATTATACTCTCTTCATGTAAGTTGTAGTTGGTAAACTCTCGTCCGTCGTCGCCGGCTCTGTCACCTGATCTGATCCGTTCAAGAATTTGTCACGTTCTTCACGCATGTTCGTTTTGAATTCATCAGTTATGAGAGCATAATACTCGTCATTCGCGTACAACCATTCTATGAAGCGTATCATGTAGTTCATATACATCTCTCTGGTCTTCTCCGATACATTGTTCTGCTGAATGCGTGTACGTCTTTCCTCGAATTCTCTCCGCTGTTGCACACATAACACAGCAGCTGTGGATTGAGGACGCTTGCAACCTCGCCGTGCCCAAGGCTGCACCGGCGATTGATCCAATGGGGCTTCAGGTTGCAAGACGTTTTCGTCTCCTTCCACAGCAAAAGCTGGAACAGCCTGTTCCCCTCCTACCTCTGGCCCCGTTGAATCACTGTCATGAACCTCTTCCATTACCTCCTCCTCATCCCCGGAGTCCCCCCGATCCTCTTCCGCCGTCACTTCCACTTCAGCACTGCGTAAGACACTTCCCTCTGCGCCAGACAGACCTATGCTTCCGTAGTTAAAAGCTTGGTGCCGCTGAAGGACGTAATACCCCCCACCCCAGAATTCTGTTCAAAAGAGGGGTACTACTATGAATCCATCTTATTCACGTGTTTGCTTTTCTTTATTTCCTTTTGCTACTACCTGGGTCCTATTGTTTCATATGTACATAAGTAGCTATATACAAATGAAAAAAACGAATTTGATGGATTCCGTCGGGCTCTACGGTTTGCAAGCCCCTCATACAGCCCGCACATGCCCAGTTTTGGTCCGTGACGGACCGTTATATTACAGATACATAATAATATGATCCGGAAGAAACCTCCTACCCATAATGGAATTTGTCATTGAACAAAATAGTATCCTTTGAACTTTTTTGGGGGAACTAGCCGTTTCATAGAAACTAGCCGTTACAAATTTTGGCGTTTCATAGAAACGGCAGCTGAGCCGTTACAAATTTTTGCGTTTCATAGAAACTAGCCGTTAGAAACGTGTCAGCAGCGGTAACTTGAGTGAAGGGCAGGGCGCCGACAACGCGGGGAGGACCGGGGATTTGTAACGGCTAGTTTCTATGAAACGCCAAAATTTGTAACGGCTAGTTTCTATGAAACGGCTAGTTCCCCCAAAAAAGTTCAAAGGATACTATTTTGTTCAATGACAAATTGGAAATAAATGCTATAAAACATTGAAAATACAACTCTAACTTGAATTTAAAAAGGGGGGTGATTATTTTAGTTACCAAGTACCCCTATGGGAGGAAGAACCGCTTCAGCGATGGGGGTGGGGTCCATCCTACCCTACTGGCAATCACCCTCTCCCTTCCCCCCCTATATTTGCTCATCCCTGTTCTTGGTTGCCTGACAAGAAGCACCCATTCCCTCCAGCAGATCCTGAGTTAAGCACATCGGCACACTTGGAATGAATCCTACAAGATGTTTGGTTCTAAGCCTGGCCCTTTCTTGGTTTGCAGCTGTGGTTGCCCCTTGTGATGGCTTCGGTATCCCGCCGGTATTGAAATCGTCTCAGAGTCACGTCAACTTACTAGCATCGCGGTCCCGCTGGTCTGCCTTGTCAGCTACGAGGATGGGCTTAGGTCCTAGGCCCTCACTCAGAATACTCCCAATCGTCTCAGCCGCTCGCGGGCGGGTACGGATCTCAGCCACAAGCTCTGGGAATGCATATCTCGATCAGGTGTGCAAGATGCTGGGGGCTGATGCTGCGAATGCGACCTCGAATGTGTATGTAATTGCAATGGAGCTGCAGAAGAAGGACATGGAGAAGGACATGGAGCTGCAGAAGAAGGACATGGAGCAGCAGAAGAAGGACATGGAGAAGGACATGGAGCTGCAGAAGAAGGACATGGAGAAGGACATGGAGCTGCAGAAGAAGGACATGGAGCAGCAGCAGAAGGACATGAAGAAGGACATGGAGCAGCAGCAGAAGGACATGAAGAAGGACATGGAGCAGCAGCAGAAGGACATGAAGAAGGACATGGAGCACCTTGTTAATTTCTACAAGCGTCAGCTGTCTACCCTCACTCAAAGGTGTGCATCAGGCTTGATTGAAATATGCGAAATGATATTGATTACCGTGACGCAGGTATGTCCTTGAGGCGCTGTTCAGGAAAGTGGTGCAAATTGTTCAATATAGCAAAGATGGTGCGATTCCATCTATGTTGTCGAAGTCGGACCTCAACGCGATGCAGAACGGAAAGATTTCTATGACTGACGTAAATCGGCTCTTGACGGATAATGAGCACGCAGAGTTTCGACGGAAAGTGTGGGAAAGGATCGGGTTACCGCAGGACCTTGTGATACCCACGTTTGATCCAAAAATGATGCTTTATGGGCAGCTTTCTGAAATGATACACGGGTCACCGGGAAATTATGTGTTTCTACCTTCAAATGCAGACGAATTGCACATCAGATTTTTCAGTGAGGTTGCAAAGTTTTTCGAGAAGAATATAGAATATTTCGACATCGTGTCGGCAAATGCGGGAGAGACCCTGGAAGCTGATTTTTTCCGAAAAATCAAAACGAATTCGACCGGAAAGCCAAGGCCGTGACTGGGACGGTAGGGTATCATTGTCCCTCGCCTTGCATCGGGTTGCTCCGAGTCGACCTTGCGCGCCTACCGTACCGCGGCAGTACTGCAGGAAGAAAGGCAAACGGTGGAAGGCATGTGGGATGTGCGTGTTGTGTGTTGGAAGTAAAGAGTTAGTCTCCCGTCTCCTTCCGCCTTGCTCTTCTTGCTGCATGTCCTCCTCGTCTTCATCATCTTCCCTCAACTCCAGCCGTAGGCCATCTCGTCTTGAAGCTCCAGACCGTGTGGACGACTCGGACTCTGAGCCCCTCACGTCCGGCCTCAGTAAGGACCCTCTGGATCCGACCTTCTGGCTACTGCCCTCAGAGTGGAGCGGGCGGAGGAGGCGGAGCGTGCTGGGCCGCTCTCGTACACCTTGACGACGGTGGAGTGGAGCGTGAAGCGCAGGGTCACTGAGCGAGCGTTGGTGAGATCTCCCCCGTACTGGGAGTTTCTCAGCCTGCACGCCAGCAGCTTGGTGTCGAGGCGACGAGGCCCGGCCAGCCTCGCGCGGGCTACGACATTGACCCTTGCCGACGAGACGAGCGCACAGTCGCAGCGAGGAAGAGCAGAGATCAACCCGTCAGACTCGTCTCCATCAGCCACGAGAGCGACTTACGTTCTAAGGTCCGAGAAGATTTCATCAAGGGTCATGGTCTCAACCGTCATTGCTTGTCATGAGCATACGTGGAGACGAGAGTAGGTAGGTAGCGCCCGCGGCAGACACTCTCCCCTCTCCCTCCGCCACATCCACGTGTCAGGCTTGTAGCCTTCCGCGTCTAGCTCAGCTCGTCTACCCAACCAGCGGACACATGCGATGCCGCCTCCTCCCTTCAACTTCATCTCACCCCACCATCATCGTCCTCGTCCGATCACGAGTCACCGGGGCAGAGCCGGGTGTCATCAGTGACATCAAGGCGCCATCGCAGACAGGGCAAGCCTGATAAGACACGGGCAGGCCTTGCTACCCGGCGCTCCTATCCTGATCTCGCCTCGCACTTCTCGTCCTGCTCAGCCTCGCAGCACAGGGGGAGGGAGGGGGGACAGAAGGGGGGCCTGAACCCCGAAAGCCGGGCCTGAGGTACGACGCCGTTGCCCCGGATCTCGCTTCCTCCGAAGACCGCCCCGCTCCGCTTGTGCAGACCCCCCTGGCCTTCGGTTCTCTCCTCTGTAGGAATGTTGGGAGACAGAGATGAACTTAAGTTTATGCTAAACACTGAACTGCAGATGGACAAGGCAGAGATGGAAGAGGAACAGAAGGAAGGGAACAAGGCGGACGAAGCACGAGGGATGTCGTTGGATCCCCCCCCCCTGCAGCTCAATAATGGATACACAAAGAGGAGGGGAAGAGGGCAGGGGGAATAGTTGGCACAAGGGTAAGGTGGCCCCCGATCAAGTAACACATTGAAGGGGAAACAAACTCAGGCCGGATTGCAACACTGAAACAGACGGGCACAACTGCGGGATCTTTGTCCTATTGCACTTACTGATGCTCGCAAAAACCAGAGGGCAGACACAAAAACAAGATATCTTCGACAGAGGTAGGCAGCATGGGGCCTTGTAACTCTTGTCTTGCGCGTGATGTAGAGCTCTGCAGATGCATTGGATCGCTTCGTGCGCACCTTATTGGAATCAATGTATACCCTTTTTTGAGTAAAGTTTTACTCAAGTGTCCTATTCGAGAAATTTTCTAAGTGTGGCGCGATGGCGGAATGTGACAGGTTGATGCTCGCTTTCTCAAGTATATGGACTAAACAGTCAAGAAATATGCTTGAATATTTGATAATTATGAGTATGTTAATCATTTGGCACCTTATTAGACATTGCTTAAGATCGAAATGTACAGCATTCTTCCTGAGAAGGCATGTATCATAAGTGATGAAGGGAAGTCGTAGAGAAACAAATGCATGGATAGAGTGCGCAAGTGAGTGAGGGAAGCAGGGACGGATGAAGGAACTGGGAAAGCGAGATGGCAGGGAGAGATAGAGAGTGGGTGGCTGGAACGGAGGTCATGAAATCAAGCATATTGCAACTTGGTTATATCAAACTGAATGTACTTGCAGGGAGTGGCCGACGGTACCTGCCTCAATGCGATTGGGATCAGCCTTGTAGATTGGGATCAGCCTTCCTGTGGCCCTCGAACTTGTTTCAAACACGTGACAATGTGATTCACTGATATTACATTCATTAACTTAGGTCTCGGATCTCACAGCCTTCTGGCGTTTCCTGTTGCCTCTCAGCACACCTACTACTGTCATCCAACACAGTTGCGAAAATCTTGACATGTCACCATTCGTCTCTGTCTTAGTCACCTTCTCATATTCCTCGAAAAGATAATTTTCGCATTGATCAAACATGAAACCTGCCTCAATGCGATTGGGATCAGCCTTGTATATGTCAAGAGCTTCAGCCTCTTCCTTGATGCGTTTCGACAGATATTTCATATCAGAATGCCTCTTGCCGTCATATTTGGTGGGAAAGTCAATCCCTCTAAGGCGCTTGAAAGGACCTTTTCGAGTTTCCGCATGTCCGAAGTGATACAACATGTACGCGCATCTCGTGGTCATCTGTGCCCAAGGGAATGTACCTTTCTGCGGCTTCCTGGTCGCATTCCGTGAACGACGTGCATTACTTACATCCTGTCCCTGTGATGAACCCAATCCATCGTTCTCCTCATCACGATTTACCAGCCTGCGCACCCCACTGTCCTCGGTTCTGGTAATGATGGTATCCAGTTTGTCACTTACACTCACAAACATGTCATAGACACTTCGGCCCGGCACCCTCTCTCCTTGCCGAACGCTAGTAGGCTGAACTGTGGTAGAACCGGTCACTGATGTGACGGTGCCATCGCCGTCACCCCCGACGTCGTGACAACGCTGGCATGGCATTCTTGACTGTTCTTCCTGTTTCCGAATCATGCCTTTCATTTCAGCCATTTCGCCTTTGATTTCTCCCACTTCGCTTTTGATTTCTCCCATTTCTTTCAACAGGCATGTATGCGATGTTATCCCCGTCGCAACTCTTCCGTGCGCCTCAGTTGTAACGAATTTCTTCAACGTATCTATGAATCCCTCGTGAATAAACAATTCCGTTTGAAACAGAGGATGGTTCATGGGCATTGTATCACGAAGAAATTGTTCGTGGTAGATGACAGACGCCAGAGATTGTTCAACAAGCCTCCTAAGCCGTGCATTTCCCTGAATGCATGGATATAATTGGTCCATGATCTCATTAATCTCTCGCCGTGTTTCACTGGTCTCACACCAGAACATAGGCGGTAGAGCCGCGAATTCAGGTTTGTCTGTGGGTAACCCACAACATGTTCTTCCTACCTAGTGGGGGTTCAATTGAAGTCAAATATTGGCCGCAGTATTTTCAACTTACTTGCTGGTCTCCAGCGGCCTCGTATCTGAGATACGTGTCATGTATCGTACCCATTTTCCAACCAGCTCGCAGAGAAATCGCACTGATGCTTGGTCCGCTGGTAGTTCCTGACGAAGTATATGTCGCTGATCCTTTTCTGATACTATGTGTGCCTGTATGGAGCATCAAATCAAGTTGCCAGTGAATGACTACGGTGTAATGAGCCCTATTCACCTAAGTCTCCGACGTGCAAACCGTTATTCTCAAGAGCTGTTAGCACGTCCCTATCATTTAACAACCGTTGGCTGAAAAGTTTTCTGAATCTTTCGTATTGGCTGGTGCCTGGGAATAACCGTCCTCCTGACGTTGAGTGGTCCACTGGGAACATCAACCAGTAGATACCTGCCGTCCCCAACTCAAACTTTCAAAGATTCAAGACCTGTCACGCGGCGGCGTACCTAAGGACAATATCGGGCATATAGAAGGGTTCGTGGTGTTTGCATATACGTGTTTTGGATCCCTGGGACACATTCATGAGTGAATTGACTCAGTTGAAGAAGACTCAAGCAAGACCTGGCCTTGTCTCCAGCCTGATCGTTCTTCTGGTGAATAATATAGAATTGGAACGCATCGTTGGCGAAATCCATATGATTATACAGCAACCCAGCAGTGTTGCTACTCCTTGACATCAAGTTCCAGCTTATAATCATGAACGTTCTTCCCCAAATGAATTCCCTATCCATCTTGCAAAGCATTTCTTTGGCTAGTACTTGGTAGATGGTAAAAGGTAAAGGGTCTTTTCCCACGGTAACTTTGACCGAACGATCTTTCGCTGCCTGCCGGTTGCACTTCTTCTTCAGTCCAACAAAGTGATTAGTTAACACCTGCTCAATCTCGTGGAATTCCTTAACAGGTACATCGTAAAGATGCACGATGTACATTAACGATGATCGGTACGAACTACATGTCGAGAAGGCAAGATCTGGTTTTTCTCTCAACAGAAATGAGATCCAGTGCATGAAATGCTCTGCTTTGAATCTTACGAAGTCGATGGGAATAATATCCTTCTGGGACAGAATATGTTCTAAGTAATGGGCTGTCGGTAAGCCATTGGGTGTTTTTCGGCCCTCTGCCGCCTCCAAGTCTTGCAGAAAGGCTGGGGTAATCAGACCATATGTTCGCTGGTTTGCAAATAACCATTCAAGAAACCTAGTCATGTGCTGACGATACATTGTACGTGTACTGTCAGCCAGATTATTGTTCAAAATATCTTCAGTGTCTCGACGTAATTGTTCTATTTCTGAGATCGGCAGTTGCAGCGAGTCTAGCGTGGGACGCCGACGCCGCGGCTGTGACAGTGCTGACCGCTCGGAGACAGTCCGGGAGACGAGTCACTGGTTACCGAGACTGCGATTGCCGGGACTGCAGCAGCTCGGACTTCCTGGCTTGCCATAGCGGCAGCGGCACTGCGCGCAGCATTGGTGATGATGGAACACTGCGATTGTCCACACCTTCCTGTCTGCTCAAAGTCCTCCGTGCTACCCGCACAGATTGCATGGAAAGCACGTTTACACTGACTACACTCTTCTAGAGGACACACTCCAAGGTGCTCAGGAAGTACCTTGCATCCCTCAGCAAATAAGCACAATGATTGCGCAGGCCCCCGATCCATTCTTGCGGCCCCAACTTTGTACCGAAGAGTTTAGCGGAAATAGCCAGGATGATTAGAGATGTATCCTGAGGCGGAGAGGTAGTTGTACTGTTAATAATGAATAAGTAATACTTGATTCCAACTTTTTTGAATCTTCGATATCAGATAGGCCTAGCAGCATACGATTTTGGTCATATCTATATACCATACTACAAACGTATTTTCCACCTTTCGTGAAGTCTGTACCTACCCCAATGATTGCGTTGGAATTTACAATCTCATCGCCCTCCATCACAAGCGTCATCGTCCTCATACCCTGCCTCATACCCCTCATCATCACCCTCACATACCGTTTCATCACCCTCATGAAATTCCAGCATCGAGTAAAAAACCTGTAAGAACTCAGGTTCTGACAAACCTCTCAGAAGTTCTTTCAGACGCGATAAGTTCAAGGGATGCGTCTAATCAGGTTGTGAACCAAGCCTGAAGTGAAGCCTGCAGGTCCAAGCTAGTGGGCTGGAGCTTAGTCTGTGACTTAGAAGATCCGGTTGGTTGGAGCCTGGGGAAGCTGAGGCGGCGCCGGAGGAATCAAGAGGCGCCGGCTGTCGAAGAGGCAGCACTCGTACAGTCGTGGAAGTAAGGCGGTGGTGTGTGAAGGGAAGCTGTTTGGTTGGTCTTGCTGCTACGAGTCACGGTTGGGAATAAAGTGCTGGGGATTGTTGGGAAGTTGATCTGAGTTATCTGAGGTGTTTGGTTGGCTGTGAAAGTCATTGGTGTCTTCGTGCGCACATCATCTGTGAGTCTTGGTCTTTGGACTTATCAGTCAGCTGTTGAGCTGTTCTACTAGTCATTCATCTGTGCACAGACTCTAGGAGTCAGGAATTGATTCCAATACAAAAAGAAAATTTTCTTTTTGTATTCACGAACAAAGGAATACAAAAAGACTCTACGATAAGATTCCAAGGACAACGAGTTAAAGGGCTCTTGGTCTTTGTGCGTCGAATTGACAACGAGTTTGAAGGCTCTTTAAGGCTCCTGGTTGTTGTACTGTACGCTGTTACTCATTTTTTTTGGAACGGTATTGGTAACTCCAAGTTGACGATCATGAGCATGCCAGATCTGCAAGAGGAGTTGAAACGAAGCCATGGTGATGTTCAGGTCGACAAGCTGAAGCATGGGAAGGTTACCTCCAAGGAAAAACTCGAGGACCTGTTCCTTCCTTTCTCAGGTGCCATGAGTCGTTTTCGTCCGAATCTTGGGGCTTGTTTCTTAAAACTGTTGGACTTGTTTCCGATTGACGAGACTGGATCGTTTGTTGGAGAATTTCATGAAATGTGGGAGTCGTCTCCAGAAGGTCTAGAAAAATTCTCTTCGCTGGAGTGGAAGATTCAGGTCACGGCGTTGTTTCTGCATGCTGGGTACATTTGGAAGAATGGGAAGAAATTCAAGGATGCTCTTGAGAAGTTTAAGAAGTTGCGAGGAAAATTCGAGGAGGCAATCGCAGCCAGCGAGGATGTGATTGATGGTGCTTCAGAGGATGCATTACGTTCGCTTGTTGGTTTTGGGGTTCTTTTTCCTGTGGGGCTCTGATACAGGCGTGGTAGAGTTTGAAGAGGGAAATGCACAGGGGTGGGTCCTGTAATACTAATTTATTTGTTTTAATGGTACAAATTACAATACTTTTAAGAGTCCAGCATTTTATGATGGTAGACCCCCCGAGCCCCTCCCCCCTCCCTTCAGCCCTCTCGCGATGGTGCAGGGATATGCACAACGCTAATCAATGACGAAGACGGATAGACCATCAAGATTCGAAGTTAATGTCGATGAGATATCTTGATAACACGGTCGTTGTGTTGCTTTTGTGAATACAATCATCCTTATCGTAATCTAATCTTGCAAGTTCAGAATCAAGCACCATCCAAGTGTTGCTGTGATGATTTTTCATTCGCAAAGTCGACAATGTTATGTTTTTATCAATAAAAAAAAAATGCTTGAGATGTAAAGTATTGCACTAGATATCCAGTGCTGTTTGTCAAAGCAGCTCAACCTTCACTCGTGCCCTCACAAACAAGATGGGAGGGGGTTTAGGGTTTAGGGTTTAGGGTTTAGGGCAGCATGGCTCCTCGTCAGGTGTAGGGGAAGCCGCCAGGGCGCCAAGGAAGCTGCAAGCAAGAGGTTTGTATACTTCAAATAGCTTTCTAAGTATGGTTCTTCAGTATGATGAAAATGTTCGCAACCTGCTGTATCGGAGATCATGCCAATACACGCAGAGCGGACTTGTGGATGCCTCTGTCCTCGAAGCTGATCTCGTCGAGAGGGTGAAGAGCTTCGCGAAGCGTTATCCGAACAGCAGGACAGCCCAGGCTTGCAAGGCTGTGGAGGGATGCACCCCCGACGCTATCGCAGAAGCCATCCGCTCGACATGTCAGCAGGCACGACGTGAGTTTCTGCAAGAAGCGATGACTGGATGGAGTGACGCATCCAGAGAGTGGTTTATGCAGCAGATTGAAGAAGCCAAGAAGGAGAAGGTCGAGACATACACCGCCTCAGCAGGCAACGAGGTGACTTCCTTCATCTCCATGACTCTCCTGGGCATCTCCTCGGTGTATGTCAACCATGAAGAAAAGCTGAAGAAGAAATTTGAAGAGATCGGACTGATCGTAGACTCAGTGCAAGAGAGTAAAGCAATCATGTGGAAGGCTCCGTATAGACCCGAGATAGCGAGTGCTGAGGAGATCCCGGTGACTGTTTCCTTCCTCCGCAATGCACAAGCGGAGAAGCTCTGGCAGGGAAGAGAGGACTTCGCGATCGATGGTCGCAAGTTCACAGCTGTACATGTGAGCATCGTGCACGATCGATCTTTCAAGATTCGAGCCAAGAGAGGACCCTGGGGCAAAGGGGGCAGCTTGGCAGAGCTGACTCACCTGCTAACCTTGGGCGGCATGACAACGGCTGAGATAGCTGCCGTCTATCGCTATCAGCTGCTGCGCCAGTCCCTTGCAGCGGTCCAACTCCAGCCGCTGGCAGGCATGCTGGTCGCTGGGGCGCCAGGACAGCAAGTCCACAAAGGCTTAGGTCAGAAAGGCTTCATCGCTGTAGGGGCCAACGTCATCTGGAGACAGAGGGAGGTGGAGTGGATCGTCTCCTCGAGCTGCCCAGAGGCGAATGATACAGCATTTCGAGCTTTCCGAGAGAGCGAAGCGATGGAGGGAGTACACCTGACTCTGTTCAGCGAGGACCCGAAGATCAGAGAGGCGCTCGCAGTCGAGTTGACAGCTGATCGCTTTGTGTCCAGAAATAAGTTGAAGAAGGCATCAAGGATGCAGAAGAAGGCAGGCGGCAAGGACGGCAAGGAGATCAAGATCATCATCAAGTCGACGGCGGCATCTGGTCGCTTCACGAGGAAGGAGATGGAGGGGCTGTGCAACGGCGGCAACACGTCTATCGCAAGAGTCAAGAGAGTCTTGTTGGAGATCGCTAACAGGCTCGAGATCAACGTTGAAGGCATCGACATGGAGGAGGATTTGAACACCAAGTCCTGGAACGGGTCCAAGCTATGCATCCTCCTCGGCTCCACGGAGGATGCTCGACGCATGATGAAGGAGCTGCCCTTCTATCTCGAAGGCGCAGCAACCAAGCTCGAAGCAGTCGGCTTCGACAAGGAGCCTGACTCTGAGGCGGCTGGTCAGCGGGGCACCAGCGACGCAGCGCAGCGACAGGAGGAGAGCGAGGGAGAGTGGCTGGAGTTTACAGACCTGGAGAGGATCACAATGGAGGCAGCATCTCCGTCAAGCCAAGAGGACATGCAACTCGTCAGCGAGCTGTCAGCAGTCATCGAAGATGCAGCTTCTTTGAACGAGGCGGGGACTAGCGAGCCGATCAAGCTGGTCCTGGACAAGGCCGTTGGCAACCTCCACGACACCTTCTACTCTCCGGGGAGCCTGGAGTTCATGTCGCTGGGAGAGTGGGCGAAGATGCCAGAGGAGCAGGGAGTTG